TTTAAGTGACTTTGAATGTGGCATGGTTGTTGGTGCCAGATGGACTGGTCTGGTATTTCAAAAACTGCTGATCTACTGAGATTTTCACGCACAACCATCTCTAAGGTTTACAGAGAAAAAAGAGAAAATATCCAGTGTGTAGCAGTTGTGTGGATGAAAATGCCTTGTTGATGTCAGAGGTCAGAGGAGAATGGACAGACTGGTTGCTGCGACATTCAGATGGTAGAGTCAGAATTTGGCATAAACAAAATGAAAGCATGGATCCGTACTGCCTTGTATCAACGGTTCAGGCTGGTGGTGGTGGTGTAGTGGTGTGTACCTAATAAAGTAGCGGCTGAGTATATATCAGCCTGGGTATTCTTGGGGTATCCTGAGTAAAAAAGATGAGAGTGCCACATAAACTAATGGTAGGTCCATTATTGCATAAAGCTAAATTTTGGAAGATTAATCCACTGCTTTTTGGGGGGGCTCAAAATCTCCCCTTCATCAGTGCTTAAGTGCTGGCTGAAAAAAAATACTGGAAAACCTATCAACTTGGTTCTCCAAGTCTCCAAAATAAAAAAAGGAGCAGCAAGTGATACCAAGCCTACTGCTTCCTTACGCCCTGATGAAGAGGGAGTTCTAAGCCAAGCCCGGATTAAAGGGAAGTCTAAGCCCCGAAACATGGTGGCTTTTTCATCTGACCTCTAGTCAGTGACTTACTGGACTTACATTACTGTAGGTCTTTGCAATTGTCACCTATGGTTACCATGCATGGGCTTTGATGGCAAACTCCATGTGGCTAAGGCTCCGGGTAGGAGGATACTGTATATGTCCATCACATTATTTGGTCCTACTTGACTCCGTTAAAGTGTATGCAAAGCTGAAACTTTTTATCGGTTTGTTTTGGAAAGAATACGTAAGGATTAGAACATTTGTTGGATTTTTAATGCTAATTAACAATCCATTAAACCATACTGTACAGACATCTACAGTTAACCCTTGTGGAAAGAGGGTGCATAATTTCATGGTGATACCATACTAAAACCAGCAATGAAGAGCAAACCAGCACACCAAAAAGTAGGTTCTGAGACAGGATTTTCCGAAAGTCCCATTTCAGCAAAAGAGTTACATCACCGTTTCTAAAGCACAGTGGCCTTTTTTTTTATCAAGGTGACAGATGGAGATAAAGATGTCTTTGTCTGTCACCTTGAAAAAGAGGGCCAACATGCTCTTGAGACATCAGTCTTCTCCCAGTAGTGGATGATCCTGGATAAGGCAGGCCTGATGACATCAGCATGGCTCATTTCATCAATAGACTATGAATGTAAGGTGCTCAAGGAGTCCCAGAATTTGGGACTTTCAAAATTCACATTCAAATATACAGTTGCAAGAAAAAGTATGTAACAAACACAAAAATAGTGAAGCGCTAAAACAAATCCCTACATACGCACACAGTGCATATAATATTAAATGAAAACCATACCTCATAAGTAAAATATATCCGTGACATAAAAAATGTGTCAATAGAAAACCAAATAAAATATTTTCCTTGCCCCTAAATTATTCCTTTAAATCATACATTGGTAAAAAATAGAAAATCCATGATAATACGAATAAACAGTGATGAAAAAATATATATATATAAAAAAACTGTGTTAATTAATATATATATAAATATATATGTGATAATACCAATAATAAATGTGACACCTAACAGAATAAAAGCATATAAATAGTGAATCTCAATCAAATATACGTGATTGTTGTGAAAAAATTATGCTATTACATAAAAAAATCCACTAAAACTTGTGATGTTTAGATATAAAAAAGTGTCCATAAATGAACAAACACAGTCCATGCAGTAAGGTGAAAACGACACTCAGTGTTCTTCACTTCTAGTGCTCATAAAAAAGACAGGGAAGAAATCCTCCAATGGCAGCAATGCCTGCTCACCTCCCCAACTCGACCCGCAAAGGGCCACAAGGCTATATCTCTCCTCCAGGTAATCCTTTGCTTCCAAGCAGCTCAGTAAGGAATCACAGGACCTCCTCTCCACCTCCTCTCAAACGTCATATAGGACACAAACAGAGCTTCCCATAGTGTAATACCATTTATTTCAGACACTCCATATAGCAAAAAGTTTCCACTCACATGCGTTTTGTTAGTAAAATGCAGTCCTCCTCATTCCCTGGGTGCATTCACATGTACATAGGGAAACCAATATGGTCGCTGTGCTCGGACATCCGTCCCCACGTGACCGGAAATGGTGTGTCTCTGGGCTGGGAAAAGCGTTCCGACGCGTTGCGTCACGTGCGTCGTGACCCTGATGAAGTCACGACGCACGTGACGCAACGCGTCGGAACGCTTTTCCCAGCCCAGAGACACACCATTTCCGGTCACGTGGGGACGGATGTCCGAGCACAGCGACCATATTGGTTTCCCTATGTACATGTGAATGCACCCAGGGAATGAGGAGGACTGCATTTTACTAACAAAACGCATGTGAGTGGAAACTTTTTGCTATATGGAGTGTCTGAAATAAATGGTATTACACTATGGGAAGCTCTGTTTGTGTCCTATATGACGTTTGAGAGGAGGTGGAGAGGAGGTCCTGTGATTCCTTACTGAGCTGCTTGGAAGCAAAGGATTACCTGGAGGAGAGATATAGCCTTGTGGCCCTTTGCGGGTCGAGTTGGGGAGGTGAGCAGGCATTGCTGCCATTGGAGGATTTCTTCCCTGTCTTTTTTATGAGCACTAGAAGTGAAGAACACTGAGTGTCGTTTTCACCTTACTGCATGGACTGTGTTTGTTCATTTATGGACACTTTTTTATATCTAAACATCACAAGTTTTAGTGGATTTTTTTATGTAATAGCATAATTTTTTCACAACAATCACGTATATTTGATTGAGATTCACTATTTATATGCTTTTATTCTGTTAGGTGTCACATTTATTATTGGTATTATCACATATATATTTATATATATATTAAATTAACACAGTTTTTTATATATATATTTTTTCATCACTGTTTATTCGTATTATCATGGATTTTCTATTTTTTACCAATGTATGATTTAAAGGAATAATTTAGGGGCAAGGAAAATATTTTATTTGGTTTTCTATTGACACATTTTTTATGTCACGGATATATTTTACTTATGAGGTATGGTTTTCATTTAATATTATATGCACTGTGTGCGTATGTAGGGATTTGTTTTAGCGCTTCACTATTTTTGTGCTTGTTACTTTATCACCTATTGGTTAAGGCAGAGTGATAGCAGCTGTTTAGGATAGGGACTCACCCATACCAAGCGCAGGAGGATATTCCCATTCAAGAAAAAGTATGTGAACCCCTTGGGATTACGTGGAGTTTTGCATGAATTGGGCATAAAATGTGCTCTGAACGTCATCTAAGTCACAACAATAGAAGAACACAGTCTGCTGAACATAATACTACACAAACATTAGATGTTGCCATCATTTAATTGCACATAACATGTAAACATTCACAGTGCAGGGAGGAAAAAGTATGTGAGGCCCTAGCTTAATGACTTCTCCCAGAGCTAATTGGAGCCAGGAGTGAGTCAACCTTGACTCCAATCAGTGTGATGATATTGGATGTGTTGCTGACAGCTGTCCTGCCCTTAAAAAACACACAACTGTTTTGGGTTTACTGGTTTCAAGAAGCACTGTCTGATGTGAACCATGCCTCGCAGAAAAGAGCTCTCAGAAGACCTACGATCAAGAATTGTTGACTTGCATGAAGCTGGAAAGGGTTACAAAAGTATCTCCAAAAGCCTTGATGTTCATGTGTCCACGGTAAGACAGATTGTCTACAAATGGAGAAAGTTTAGCACTGTTGCTACTCTCCCTAGGCGTGGTCGTCCTGTAAAAATGACTGCAAGAGCACAGCGCAGAATGCTGCATGAGGTAAAGAAGAATCCCAGGGTGTCAGCTAAAAATCTACAGAAATCTCTGGCACATGCTAACATTTTTGTTGACACATCTACAATAAGGAAAACATTAAACAAGAATGGAGTACATGGGACGACACCACGGAGGAAGCCATTGCTGTCCAAAAAGAATATTGCAGCACGTTTGAAGTTTTCAAAAGAGCACCTGGATGTTCCACAGCACTACTGGCAAAATATACTGAGGACAGATGAAACCAAGATTGAGTTGTTTGGGAAGAACACACAACACTATGTGTGGAGAAAAAAAGGCCCAGCACACCAACATCAAAACCTCATCCCCACTGTGAAACATGGCGGAGGGAGCATCATGGTTTGGGGCTGCTTTGCTGCCTCAGGGCCTGGACGGATTGTTGTCATTGATGGGAAAATGAATTCCAGAGTTTATCAAGACATTTTGCAGGAAAACGTACGACCATCTGTCCGCCAACTGAAGCTCCGCAGAGGATGGGTGATGCAACAGGACAATGACCCAAAGCATACAAGTCATTCAACAAAACAATGGCTGCAAAAGCACAGAATACGCCTTCTGGAGTGGCCCAGTCAGAGTCCTGACCTCAACCCCATTGAAATGCTGTGGCATGACCTTAAGAGAGCGATTCACACCAGACATCCCAAGAATATTGCTACACTGAAACAGTTTTGTGAAGAGGAGTGGTCCAAAATGACTCCAGATCGTTGTGCAGGTCTGATCTGCAACTACAGGAAATGTTTGGTTGAGGTTATTGCTGCCAAAGGACGGTCAACCAGTTATTAAGTCCAAAGGTTCACATACTTTTTCCTCCCTGCACTGTGAATGTTTACATGTTATGTGCAATTAAACCATGGAAACATCTAATGTTTGTGTAGTATTATGTTCAGCAGACTGTGTTCTTCTATTGTTGTGACTTAGATGACGTTCAGAGCACATTTTATGTCCAATTCATGCAAAACTCCACGTAATCCCAAGGGGTTCACATACTTTTTCTTGCAACTGTATATATTGTATGAACATTCAGTGGCACAAAAAAAAAGTCATCACACCTCAACAATTTGAAAGCTTTTATTGTCTATTCAATTTACTGCTAAAGGAACTTTTAACATCTTTATTCCTCATACTGTAGATGAAAGGATTTAACATTGGAGTCACGGTAGTATATACGATGGACACAACTCTGTCCATTTCATGAGTGCTTATAGAGCGGGGCCTCAGGTACATGAACATGATGGTTCCATAAAAGATTGTGACCACAGTCAGGTGAGATCCACACGTGGAGAATGCTTTATGCCTCCCTTGCGAGGAACGGATTTTCAAGACGGTGGAGATAATACGGATGTAGGAGATGAGAGTCAAGAAGAAAGAACTCATGACGATGAGCCCTGCAGATGTGAAGACCACTAGAAGGTTGAGCCAAGTGTCTGTGCAGGCTATTCGTAACATTGGTGGAATTTCACAGAAGAAGTGATTCAGCTGTGACCTGCAGAAAGGCAGCGTAAACGTGTCACTCACCAAGACAACAGAGTTGAGGATTCCTATACTCCAGGTTATTGCCGACAAACAAAAGCAGAATTTCTTATTCATGATGGTATTGTAGTGCAAGGGCTTGCAGATGGCAACATACCTATCATAGGCCATGACGGCCAGTATCATACATTCTATTGCCCCTAGAGCTAAAGAGATAAATACCTGAATGCCACATTCCAGTAAGGAAATGCTTTTGTCTTTGGCAAGCATTTTGACTAAGATTAGAGGAACAATACTGGAGGAGAAAGAGACATCAATAATGGAAAGGTTACTCAGGAAAAAGTACATAGGAGTGTGGAGTTTTGGGTTGATCCTCACCACAATGACCAGCAGAAAATTACCCGACAACATGATAATATAGATCACCAGGAAGACGATGAAGAAGATGACCTGGAGATATGGAACATCGGAGATGCTGAGAAGAATGATTCGAGGTGGATATGTTTGGTTGATGACTTCCATAATTTTCTAGTAGATATTGAAGAAAAGAAGTTATTGTTTGGAAATGAAGACAACATGGTCTAAAAAGCAATTATGGAACATAAAGTGCTGTAAAAAAGTATTTGCCCCTTCCTGATTTTTTTTTTTTTTTGCATATTTGTCACATCAGATCATCAAAAGACTTTTAATATTACACAAAGATAACCCGAGTAAATACAAAATGCAGTTTTAAAATGATGAATTAATTTATTAATGGAAAAAAGCTTCTTTGGAAAGCTGAGTTAAATTTCACTTGCCATATGCAGGCCTGATTACTGACAGACCTGTTGAAGCAAGAAATCACCTCGGTGGGTGTGTGATTCGGACAGAGACTGAGGGGGTGAGGTGGGGGGTTGAGAGGGGTTGGGCTCCGTTTCTGCCACCCCCCTCTGCCAATCCCTCCACTGGCTTCCGATTGCGCAACGGATCAAATTCAAAATCCTAACACTGACGTACAAAGCTGTCCACCATACTGCCCCGAACTACATCACTGACCTAATATCCAAGTACCGCCCAACACGCACACTCCGCTCCTCACAAGACCTCCTTCTCTCTAGTTCCCTGGTCTCCTCCTCCCATGTCCGCCTCCAGGACTTCTCCAGGGTGTCACCCATCCTCTGCAACTCCCTGCCCCAACCCATCAGATTATCACCTACTCTCCTCTCCTTTAGGCGCACCCTGAAAACCCACCTCTTCAGGGAAGCCTACCCTACCCCCTGCTAACTTGCCGACCTCCTCCACTCTTCCTACCACTCCATCCCCCACAGCTATCTCCTCCTGTACCACTATCCCCTCCCTCCTAGATTGTAAGCTCCAAAGAGCAGGGCCCTCAATCCCCTCATGTTTTGCATTGTATTGGTATTGTTCTGTCACATGTTCTGTCCCCCTTTTTAATGTACAGCGCTGAGCGAACTATTGGCGCTTTATAAATACTGTATAATAATAATAATAATAATTAGAAGCTGTCTGACAAAGTGAACCACGCTAATAGATTTCAAAAGGCAACAAATCATGCTGCGATTTAAAGAAATTAAAAAAAAGTTGAGAAACAAAGTAATGGACATGTATCAGTCTAGAAAGGGTTACAGAGACATTTAAGGCAAACCACAGTGAGAGCCATTATCCACAAATGGAGCAAACCTGAAACAGTGGGTAAGCTTCCCAAAATTACTCCAGGAGCACAACCATAACTCATCCAGGAGGTCATAAAAGAACCCAGAACAACATCTAAAGAACTCCAGGCCTCACTTGCCTCAGTTAAGGTCGGTGTTCATGATTCAACAATAAGGAAGAGACCGGGCAAAAATGGCATCCATGGGAGAGTTCCAAGGTGAAAGCCACTGCTGACCAAAAAGAACACAAAGGCTTGTCTCACATTTTCCAAAAAAAGCTTGATTATTCCCAAGACTTTTGGGCAAATATTCAATGGACTAATGAGACAAAAGCTGAACTTTTTGGAAGGTGTGCGTCCCGTTACATCTGGTGTAAAACTAACACAGCATTTCATAATAAGAACATCATACCAACAGTCAAACATGGTGGTGGTAGTGTGATGACCTGGGGTTGCTTTGCAGTTTCAGGACCTGGGTGACTTGCCATAATTGATGGAACCATTAATTCTGCGCTCTACCAGAAAATCCCGAAGGAGAATGTCCGGCTATTAGTTTGTGACCTCAAGCTCAAGCGCACTTGGGTTATGCAGCAGGACAATAATCCGAAACACACCAGCAAGTCCACCTCTGAATGGATAAAAAAACAAGATAAAGGTTTTGGAGTGGCCTTGTCTTAAACCCAATTGAGATGCTGTGGCATGACCCTAAACTCGTTCATGCTCGAAAACCCTCCAATGTGGCTCAATTAAAACAACTCTGCAAAGAAGAGTGGGCCAAATTTATTCCACATTGATGTGAAAGACTCATTGCCAGTTATTTCAAGTGCTTGATTGCGGTTGTTGCCACCAAGGGTGGCACAACCAGTTATTGGGTTTAGCGGGCGATTACTTTTCCACATAGGACCAGGCAGGTTTGGACAGCATTTTTTCCTTAATTAAATGAAATCATCACTTAAAAATTTTGTATTTACTCAGGTTATCTTTGTACCAGAATTAAAATTTGTTTGATGATCTGAACAATTTAAGTGTGACAATTATACAAAAAAAAAAAATCAGGAAAAGGGGGGCAAATGCTTTTCACAGCACTGTATTAATACAACTTTTGTGTGTCTCAGGAGCACATGTAGGCTTTTACTTTATACAATGGTTAATCAAGATCAAGGAATTGGTAACAATAAATAAAATGTAAGCCCTTTTAATCTACCAAGAAGTAAGTGTGACTGTTACTGGAGATCTAAGGTGTATAACAAAAATATATTTCATACTGTATAATATATAGTTATTAACCTCCCTGGCGGTATGATTATTTCAGATTTTTGGTGCTGAAAGCGGTACCATTATTTTGCATGGAAATATGTATTTTTTTTATTGTAGGCTGTAATTCTTAGGAATAACTCACTGAAATCTGTCTGAACAAGAGTCTAGTAAACATCCCGGGTATGATAAAATTTGAAACACGAAATCATAAATTATAATTTAAATAATCATAAAAAATAATAATATGATAATAATACATTTAATTCAATAATATAATCAAACCAAAAACACTGAAATTTGAAATATAGCACCAAGTTCGTACATCGCTGAGCAAAGTCGCAGAATCGTTTTCAGTGTCTGATGAGGAATTTCCCCCACGAATCATTATCACTCAATTCTGCAAGTGGTTCTGATTTACTATCGCTGTTCTCTAGCCGGTCTAAAACCGATTTTGACCTAAAGGGACGCTTTTTGGACGCCATGGACGTTTCTCAGTTTCCAGGCAGAAAGAACAGACAAAACGCAGGCAGGGCGCCGGACAAAGCACTCGGGACAAAATGTATGTGAAATGGGTTGAAACAGCAATGTTTTACTATGAAAAATATGTTTTAAAAAAATTAAATTTTTTTAAATTTTCAAATTTCCCGCCACTGGCGGCGCCCGTACGTCCCGATGTCACAGGGACCGGAACACAGGAGCCGGATGCCGGCATTGGCTGGAGGAGATGGCCGGGGACACTGCAGGGGACACATCGCGGGAGCGAAAGACAAGGTAAGTGCTGCAGGGACTCCCTATGCAGCGCTGCATTGTAAGCCCGAGTGTAGCTCAGGGTTACCGCTTTTGGCACTGACATTTTACCCCGAGCTACACTCGGGAATACCGTTAGGGAGGTTAATGTGTAACACCCTGCAGAAATATTGAGTGCAGGATGTTAAATGGACACAAGATGGCAGCGTTCTACAGCCCAGTTAGACAGACTCTGCAAAAGAAAAGCTTTGTGGGACTTGTAGGCTGATGGCAGGATTTCGCAGTCTATCGTTGAGCTGATAAACTATATTACCCAGACGAGCTGGCTGATGGGCGGGGGCAGATAAATACCAAAAGCCCAAACCAGAGGGGAAGGGGAACAGTGAGAGCTGGAGAGGAAAGCTGTGCGGGATGCTGGAGGTCTGGACTGGTCCAGAACAGCAGAGAGAAGGAGTGAAGGAGGGTGGAAGAGCTGGAGTCTGTTGCCCACTGGCAAGCTAGACTGGCAACCTAGTGAATGGGCACACTGGAGTGCTGTCATCTGAGTGATCGGTGAAAATTGTGCCTGTGTCCACCAGGATAGGACTGCAGGCATTGGACGGAGGGGGAAGCTGGGGACAGTACTGGAGCATGGAGGAGGTAAGTAGAAAAAAAAAAAGTTTTTCAAAAATATTACTAGCTGTTACGTGCAAAATATTTGTATCCATTCACTGCTTTTCCAGCATTTTCCAGGATGACGGCGATGCCAGTGCTGACCTCAGTTTCGGAAAATGCTGCTTTCCTGGCTACCAGGCTGATCCAGCTTCGGTGCTCCCCAAGGCACTGAGCACGCCCAGTTGTTTGGACTTTCTCTGTTTTTTTTTCTGGGAGAGTAAACCACAATGAAGCTAAAGATCCGGTATGATAACCAGGTATTAACCCTTTGCTTCCAGAGCCATTTGTGAGGTTTTTTTTTTTTTTTTGCATACATGTTTAGTTAGATTAGTTACTCATTTTCATTTTTTTTTGGTAAAATATAACAGATGAAAGTTTGCTGAGATACCAAACCTGCCAGTTCTTAAAATCAGGTGCCCTCTTGATGGCAAACTTCAAGACCCACATTTTTCCATAGGCCACACTTTAAAAGCCACGACAGGTCATCAGTTCACAGTGAACATTTGTTTTTATTAAAAGTAAAATTTCAGTACCACAAGCGATAACCCTGAGCTACACTCGGGCTTACCATGCGGCGTTGCTCAGGGAGTCCCTGCAGCACTTACCTTGTCCTTCGCTCCCGCGGTGTGTCCCCTGCAGCGTCCCCGGCCATCTCCTCCGGCCGATGCCGGCATCCGGCTTCCGTGTTCCAGTCCCTGTGATGTCGGGACGTACGGGCGCCGAAACCGGCGGGAAATTTGAAATTTTTAAAAAATTTTATTTTTTAAAAAATGATTATTACATAGTAAAACATTGCTGTTTCAAACCATTTCACATACATTTTGTCCCTACTGCTTTGTCCGGCGCGCCCTGCCTGTATTTTGACTGTTCTTTCTGCCTGGAAACTTAGAAAAGTCCATGGCGTCCAAAAAGCGTCCCTTTAGGTCAGACGCGGTTTTAGGCCGGCTAGAGAACAGCGATAGTAAATCAGAACCACTTGTAGAATTGAGTGATAATGATTCGTGGGGGAAATTCGTCATCAGACACTGAAAACGATTTTGCGACTTTGCTCAGCGATGTGCGAATTTGCCTCTGTATTTCAAATTTCAGTGTTTTTGGTTTGATTATATTATTGAATTAAATTTATTATTATATTATTATTTTTATGATTATTTATTAAATTATAATTTATGATTTCGAGTTTCCAATTTTATCCTACCCGGGATGTTTACTAGACTCTTGTTCGGACAGATTTCAGTGAGTTATTCCTAAAAATTACAGCCTACAATAAAAAAACTACATATTTCCATGCAAAAAAATGGTACCGTTTTCAGCACAAAAAATCGTAAATAATCATACCGCCGAGGAGGTTAAGGGGTTAACAACTTGGATGGGGTCTACGGGTACATGGGATGCCCAAGGAACTGTAAACTCGAGCACAAACGTCTTAGCCACAATACTGTAAAAGAAAAAGTGGATCAAAAATAGCAACTATCTCTGTTAAGGAACATTGAAGCCCCTTGGTGTACCTCCTCAGACCCCAGATGAATTCCCCTCTTCACCCAGCTGCACTGAGGGTATCCCTGGGCAAGGAACTCCAAGATCTAGCAGTTAAGTAGTCCCGGATGAGAATTAGTTTGGTCTTGCGCCTGACCGTCCTCTCCCTTTATCTGGCCCAGGTGGTGTAGCAGTACTCACACTGTCCTGTCAGCGTGGTGGGTTGGTGGCTGCTTTCAGGCCTTTTGCTGGGTTGACTCCTTCCCTGCTGCCCAGGTTGTCCTCTCTAAGAGACTTGGCACAGTGGAGGCCCTCCTTTCCGGTACCCAGCCCTGTAGATAGGCTCCCCTCCCTGAAGCCACCTCCCAGGCTCCACACTCCAGCTTTCTCTCCATCTTCCACTCAACTTCCCTGCTGCTCAGGCTCTTGGTCAGGTCCTTGGTCACCATGCCCAGCCTCTTGTCTGCAGATTGGCCTAGGTCCCTCAAACGTGCAGATCTGAACTTCCTCCACTCCTTCGTCCCTCACGCAGAAAATTCCTTTAGTTTCTAGAAGGGTGGGAGGGCTCCAGAAACCCTGAGCTGTAGAGCCTCCCAACCTGTCCCAAGATGACCTCCCTACCTCACTCCTAGGCTGACTCATCCCAGGCTTCTAACAAGCCTCTGTCTAAAAAAAAAAAACAACAACAAAGCCTACCCACCTAGAGGGTGCTACACTTGAATTATGGATCCAACTCTGGCATGCGCAGTAATATGTACCATGTATAGTGCAATAGAAAGTTTCATATGTTGGCACTACCAATGTGTGGTGTTTATGTTTATATGTTTATGTACATAGGGGTGAGGTCGGCTCATATTTTCTTTCTTGGAGGGGGGGTTAAAGTGTTACTAAACCCCTGACCCTGCATTCACTATATCTGGTCTCCCCAGACCCTGCATTCACTATATCCGCTCTCCCAGGACCCTGCATTCACTATATCTGGTCTCCCCAGACCCTGCATTCACTATATCCGCTCTCCCAGGACCCTGCATTCATTATATCCGGTCTCCCAGGACCCTGCATTCACTATATCCGCTCTCCCCAGACACCGCATTTACTATATCTGGTCTCCCTGGACCCTGCATTCACTATATCCGGTCTCTCCGGCCCCTACATTCCCTATATCTGCTCTCCCCGGACCCCGCATTCACTATATCTGGTCTCTCCAGACCCTGCATTCACTATATCCAGTCTCCACGGACCCTGCATTCACTATATCCGCTCTCCCCCCGGACCTTGCATTCACTATATCTGCTCTCCCCGGACCCCGCATTCACTATATCCGCTCTCCCCGAACCACCCTGCATTCACTATATCCCCTCTCCCCGGACCCCGCATTCACTATATCTGGTCTCCCCGGACCCTGCATTCACTATATCCGCTCTCTCTGAACCCTGCATTCACTATATCTGCTCTCCCCGGACCCTGCATTCACTATATCCGCTCTCCCCGGACCCTGCATTCACTATATCCAGTCTCCATGGACCCTGCATTCACTATATCCGCTCTCTCCCCGGACCCTGCATTCACTATATCCGCTCTCCCCGAACCCTGCATTCACTATATCCCCTCTCCCCGGACCCTGCATTCACTATATCTGGTCTCCCCGGACCCTGCATTCACTATATCCGCTCTCTCCCCGGACCCTGCATTCACTATATCCGCTCTCTCCCCGGACCCTGCATTCACTATATCCCCTCTCCCCGGACCCTGCATTCACTATATCCGGTCTCCCCGGACCCCGCATTCACTATATCCGCTCTCCCCGGACCCTGCATTCACTATATCCGCTCTCCCCGGACCCTGCATTCACTATATCCGTGCTCCCCGAACCCTGCATTCACTATATCTGGTCTCCCCGGACCCTGCATTCACTATATCCGCTCTCTCCGAACCCTGCATTCACTATATCCCCTCTCCCCGGACCCCGCATTCACTATATCCGCGCTCCCCGAACCCTGCATTCACTATATCTGGTCTCCCCAGACCCTGCATTCACTATATCCGCTCTCCCCGGACCCTGCATTCACTATATCCGCGCTCCCCGAACCCTGCATTCACTATATCTGGTCTCCCAGAACCCCGCATTCACTATATCCGCTCTCCCCAAACCCTGCATTCACTATATCTGCTCTCCCCGGACCCTGCATTCACTATATATGGTCCCCCCGGACCCTGCATTCACTATATATGGTCCCCCCGGACCCGGCATTCACTATATCTGGTCTCCCCAGACCCTGCATTCACTATATCCGGTCTCCCCGGACCCTGCATTCACTATATCTGGTCTCCCCGGACCCTGCATTCACTGTATCTGCTCTCCCCGGACCCTGCGTTCACTATATCCACTCTCCCACAGTACACAGAATATGGAAATGCAATTATATTACTAAATATAAACTGCTAAATACCTTTTCTCTTCAGAAGTTAGAGCAGTCTTGTGCCTTCTAAAAGTTTTCACCCAAGCACTAGCTAAAGCTTGTAGGAGGAGTTTTCCTTCTGCTCTAGGAGGATGCAGAACCCCTGACCTCTGTATGGGCAGTGATGATTGGCCCTGTGCGGATCACTCTCTGAAGAGAAAAAAAAAAACCTCTCTAGCAATACACACCAAACTGAGCATGTGCAAAATGCCTACGTTAAGGTGGTCGCTTAAACAAGGGGAGGAACAGAGCAATCAGGATCAAATGGCCTTTTTTCACAGCGCAGAAGATTAACCCCTTAGGTTCCACAGTGAGTAGAACAAGCATGCTTTACTGTCTATACAGACGGATTTTACTGTTATGTGCTAGGGTGTAACTTACATTTTTACCCTTTTTTTCATGTAACTTTTTTTTCACCCTCTATGACAGCATTTTGTTTAGCTGGGTTCTCTTTAATGAGGCATCAGGGGTCTATCAGACCCTAGTTGCATGTCTCTGGACCAGGCAAGAAGGTCTGGGATCTTCTACAGAGAAGTAAAGCCGACTCCCTTGCAGCAGCACAGGAGATCTTTTTGTTTCTTGATAACAAGGTAACCAACAATAGTGGCCCCTTTCATGACAGGTGCCCTTTAAAAATCAGGTTCCTGTTTCAATGTGATAAACATTCAAACTGGCTGTCAATGGAGATAGATCCCAGGTGGGTGACCCTTGTAGGGAACCGCAAGCTGATCAGCACACCAGGAATAGAAAACCTGCCTTGTGTCTTTCTTAAATAGATTAAATAATTGGGCTCCATTCACAAAGCTTCAACATAAACACATGTATTGTTATTTCAGCCATGTGACAGTTATTTTCAATCTTTATTGGGCTCAGCTGAAAATACCTGAAACTTTTCTTGTAAGGATCCTTGTCCCCTTGTGTGTAGATTTGTGAATTGAGCCCTTCGGTTTATATCCTGGCTGTGCTGATCAACTAGCAAATTCAGGTTTTACAGGCCTCTCTAAGGCCCCTTTCACGCGGGCGTTCTGTATGTCCGTTTTTCATCTGTCCATTTATGGATGAAATACGGACACCCATGTATTTCTATGGACTAGCGGATGTAAATGGATGATGATCCGTTTACATCTGTCAATGTCTGTATCCGTTAACAACTGTTTTTTTTTTACGGAAGGAAACTCTATTTTTCTTCCATAAAAAAAAAATAAAAATGGAATGGACAAAAAACGGATGTGAACTGATGAAAAACTGATGTAAACGGATGTAAACTGATCCATTTTTGCTTTAAAAAATTGACGAAACTGATGGAAAAAACAGAACGTCCGTGTGAAAGAGGTCTATTTTTCTTCCATTAAAAAAAACCCGGAACGGATGAAAAACGGATGTAAACGGATGAAAAACAGATGTCAACGGATGAAAAATGGATGAAAAACGGATTCAGTTCACATCAGTTTTTCATCAATTTACATCCATTTTTCATCCGTTTTTTTTAATCTGTTTTTTTGTCCGTTTTTCATCCTTTTACATCGGTTTTTGTCCTTTTACATCCGTTTTTCATCCATTTTGGGGTTTTTTAATGGAAGAAAAATAGACCTCTTTCACACAGGCATTCCATTTTTTTCATCAGTTCAGTCACTTTTTTCAAGCAAAAACAGATCAGTTTATATCAGTTTTTCATCAGTTTACATCTGTTTTTCTTCTGTTCTTTATCTGTTTTTCATCCATTTTTCATCCGTTGACATCCAGTTTCCGTTCATTTACATCCGTTTTTAATCATTTTAAATCTGTTTACATCTGTTTTGTCCGTTTACATCCATTTTTATCTGTTTACATCCGTTTACATCCGTTTTTGTCTGTTTACATCCGTTCCGGGTTTTTTCAACGTGAACGGATGAAAACGGATCTTAAAGGATGAAAAACGGATGAAAATGGACAAAAAATGGATGTCATCAGATGAAAAACGGATGTAAATTGATGAAAAATGGATGAAAAACAGATGTAAACTGATCCATTTTTGCTTGAAAAAAAGTGACTGAACTGATGAAAAAAATGGAACGCCTGTGTGAAAGAGATCTATTTTTCTTCTGTTAAAAAAAACAAAATGGATGAAAAACAGATGTAAACTGATCCGTTTTTGCTTGAAAAAAAGCGGATCAGTTTACATCTGTTTTTCATCCATTTTTCATCAATTTACATCCATTTTTCATCCGTTGACATCCATTTTTCATCCATTTACATCCGTTTTTCATCCTCTTAGATCCGTTTTCATCTGTTCACGTTGAAAAACCCCGGAACGGTTGTAAACTGACAAAAACAGATGTAAACTGATGTAAACAGATAAAAATGGATGTAAACTGACAAAACAGATCTAAACAGATGTAAAAGGATTAAAAATGGATGTAAATGAACGAAAAATGGATGTCAACGGACGAAAAATGGATGAAAAACGGATAAAGAACAGAAGAAAAACGGATGTAAACTGATGAAAAACTGATGTGAACTGATCCTTTTTTGCTTGAAAAAAAGTGACTGAACTGATGAAAAAAAAAGAACGCCCGTGTGAAAGAGGTCTATTTTTCTTCTGTTAAAAAATAAACAAAACGGATGAAAAACAGATGTAAATGGACAAAAATGGGTATAAACAGATGAAAAACTGATGTGAACGGATGAAAACGGATGTAGAAGGATGAAAAACGGATGTAAACGTATGCAAAACAGATAAAAAACAGACGGAAAATTGTTGTCAACGGATGAAAACGGATGTAAACGAACGAAAAATGGATTAAAAAAAAGGACAAAAAATGGATGTTAACGGATGAAAAACGGATGTAAACGGATGAAAAGCAAATACAAAATGGATGGAAAACAGATGTAAACTGATGAAAAACTGATGTGAACTGATCCTTTTTTGCTTGAAAAAAAGTGACTGAACTGATGAAAAAAACCAGAACGCCTGTGTGAAAGAGGTCTATTTTTCTTCTGTTAAAAAAAAACAAAACGGATGAAAAATAGATGTAAATGGATGTAAACAGATGAAAAACTGATGTGAACGAATGAAAACGGATGTAAAAGGATGAAAAACGAATGTAAACGTATGCAAAACAGATAAAAAACAGACAAACAAAATGAAAACGGATGTAAACGGACGAAAAATGGATTAAAAAAAAAAGACGAAAAATGGATGTTAACAGATGAAAAACGGATGTAAACGGATGAAAAACTGATGTGAACTGATCCTTTTTTGCTTGAAAAAAAGTGACTGAACTGATGAAAAAAACAGAACGCCTGTGTGAAAGAGGTCTATTTTTCTTCCGTTAAAATACACACCGGAATGGATGAAAAACGGATGTAAAAGGACAAAAACGGATGTAAACAGATGTATAAGGATGAAAAAACGGATGAAAATGGATAAAAAATGGATGTCAATGGGTGAAAAACGGATAAAAAACAGACGAAAAACGGATATAAATTGATGAAAAACTGATGTGAATTGATCCGTTTTTTCTTGGAAAAAACATGACTGAACTGATGAGAAAAACATAGCGCTCGTGTGAAAGGGGCCTGAGACATTTTTAATATTTCCTTTTTCTTCTCTCTGTTCTCTGGCCCTTCCTGCAGCCAACACTTCTGGTCTCCCCCGATTCATCCCTGACTACAAATCCCTGACATGTTCCCGAATCTTAGGAATCGAGCATTATGTGTGATATACCAGCAGAGCACATTGTATGGAATGTATGGACATACCTTTGTATGGAACACTGGCTGGGCTGGACAGCTGCTGCCAGCAAACACACAAAGAACACGCAGCTTGTATATATTACAGGTAATCCGTGATCACTCGTCCCCAGAGCCAGGGACCCAGTCTGCATTTTAAATTCCCAGATTATACAATTATTTTCTATTCTTCTGTAATGCTAATTTTTTCCCCAAAGTAAATGTAAAACCGACTCACTAAAATATCATATAATATATCGTGTTAATGCCATTTGTTTGGTTTTTTTTTATCTGCCGCAGTAGACAAGATAAATGACAAGTATCCATCAATGCAGACCAGTGACACCCTCACCTGTCAGGGTCTGTCGGTAAAAGAATTGCTGTAATCCCCGTATGGTGTCTAATATCTGTATAACCTAGCTCCATCTATTGGCCATAATGTGATATTTTCCTGAAATTCCTCAAAAAAGAAAATACAGGATTATGGCCACTAGGTGGAGCTGATGACCACAGGAAACACACATATTAGACAAAATACAGGGATTATTTATATAACAGGGAGATGGCTGTATAAATGCCAAGGCACCGGTCCGCAGGGCCAGGTACTGTTCAGACTCGTTTGAATTGTAAATTCACAGATTATGCAATCATTTTGTATTCTTCCAATTTTTGATTTAGCAAAAGTACATATAAAATCCAACACTAAAATCTCATATTTTAATTAAATTTCATAAACTAATACAGTAAAAAAAAATCATCATAAAAAAATAATAAATAAATAAATTTCATTAACACATTAATGTCATTTTAAAAGCAAATTTCAGTCTTTTTTTTTTTAGGTGGAATTACTCTACTGCAGTAAACAAATCAAATGACAAGCGTCAATGTAGAAGAGTGAGAATTACACCTTTATGTATTGGGGTCTGTTCTTTAAAAAAAAAAAAATGC